TGGCAATGAGAAGGACAGTTTGGAACAAGAAGGACCGGACGAAGGCTGACCAGGGAGGCAGTTCCTGCCTTACACATGCAGTTAGGGCAATATGATTCGGACAGCTCTTTGTTTTAGAAGTTGGTCCTAAGCCAGAATTTCTTGAGGGAGGTTCATCATTCTAGAGCTGCATTCTTCAATAAAGTAGCCATCGCCACATATGGCTAAATTTAAATTTAATTAATTAAAATGACATAAAATTTAAAAGTCAGTTCCTCAGCGATACTAGCTCCATTTCAAGTGCTCATTAACCACATGGGCTAGTAGTTACCATTGTGAACAGCACAGACATAACTTTCATCATTGCAGAAAGTTCTGTTGGACGGCATAGTACTACAGCAATATCAAAATGAGAGTAGCTCATTGCCCCCAAGTGGCTCCACCACCTTCCATCCCGGCACTGCTACTTACTAGCAGTGCCAATGGACAAATAACCTCTCTGTGCCTCAGTTTTTCCATCTATCAAATGGGAATAACTGTACTCCTAATTGGAGCCCTGGTGGCACAGCGGTTAACAGTTCATCTGCTAACCAAAAGGTCGGTATTTTGACTCCACCAATCGCTCCTTGGGAATCCTATGGGGCACTTCTGCTCTTTCCTATAGGGACACTATGAGTTGGAATCGACTCCATGGTAACGGATTTACCAGGTTATGTACGAAATAAGGGGCATTTTCTTGGTGATTGAGTGGTACAATTCTCGCCTTCCATTTTGGAGACCAGCGTTTAATTCCCGGCCAATGCACCTCATGCACAGCCACCACCTGTCTGTCAGTGGAGGCTTGTGTGTTGCTATGATGCTGAACAGGTTTCAACTGAGCTTCCAGATTAAGATAGACTAGGAAGAAAGGCCTGGTGAACTACTTCTGAAAATCAGCCAATGAAAACTCATATGGATCACAATGGTCCAATCCACAACTGATCATGGGGATGCTGCAGGACCTGGAAGCATTTTCTTCCATTGCACGTGGGGTCATGTGAGTTGAGGCCTAATCAAGGGCAGCTAAAAACAACAACAACAACATCTAAGAAGAATGTGTAGGATCCCATTATTTAATACATGAAAATCATGTAGATAGTACGTGGCTCATGATAAATATTAGCCAATATTATCTACTTTGGTTGCATGATATGTAGGTAGAGAATAACAATTATAGACACATTTGAGAGATAGTCCATATTTGTTATATTAAGAAACATCCTTTAGATGAACATGACCCAAAGAGTCCAGGCTGGTAGGTTAGAATAATAACAATTTAGACATATGGCCAAAGAAGGGGAGGGTATTAGTCTAAATAAACAACAGCAGTGTTATGGAACCCACTCTACAGAGTCTGACCATCTATTATCCGAGAGGAAGTGAAAAGAGGCTGGGGAAACCACTGACCACACTCTCTGGGGCGTGCCAGGCTCACCCTGCCTCCAAGACTCTACCCAGAAGCTTCCAGTAAGCCCCTAGCACAGGTTCTAAATAGTAGAGATCTAACAATGGGAAATGAAGCCCAGACACCCTGAGAAAAAATAGAATTGAATAACTTCCAAAGAAAATAATAATTAGGAGTAATAAAACCGCAGACGGAAATTTTAACTACACCTGCTTACCAAAAGCATTCCCAAGCTTTCGTTTTAAGACACGGATACATGTTTGTAATTGAAAGAACTGCAGAGTATTAATGCCCGCGACCAGAGTTTGTAATTTTGGTTAGAAAGATCTGATATTAGAAAAGTGGACAGGAGTTTTAAGTTACGCTTAGTACAGCAAAAGAAATAACATAATAATGTTAGAATAAAGGTTATTTGAAAGCTTTTACATCTAGTACAAATGTACTTCTTTTTCTTTTAACCCTTAATATAAAGAAAACTTTACATTTATACTTTTGTAATTGTGGATATCAATAATTTAATGCACTATCTCTATTTTTTTCAGAACTAACTTTAAAATGTTTACATGCTTTCAAGATTTCAAACCCACAAGGTAACCAAAATTGTAAGCCTCAATTAAAAAGGCTAAGGGTTCTTAGACTCATATGTCTCTCTACAGCTTTATAGGTGTCCCTCAAAGCTATACATTTAGTATTCCAAATTAAAAATAAAATGTATTTGCGTGACAATAAAAAGCTTATTCTTAGTCAAAATAATAAATTTCCCTTGATTTGTAAAGCTTGGAAGTGACACTTAACCGAGCTGAATATGCTAGTTACTTTACGTGATTTATCTGATTTTAATATACTCAGAACTTACTTTCTTTTCCTCTGAAAGATATATGTTATTGCTAAAGATTTAATACAGGCAGCCTGGGAAGACAGAGTTGCAACTTCATGAATCAACAATTTAGAAATTCTAGTCCCCAAAGTAATTGCGTACAAAGAGTTCGAGGCCTTTGCCTTGATTAGTTAATTGGGAAATAAAAATATATTTGTATTTTTATTTGTCTCTTTGAATCCTTTGCCTCTCTTATCTCCTGCATATTAGGGTATGAGCGAGGCTTGGTTGTTAATTTTATTTATATGAGCTAACCAAGATAAAAGTCTTAGCTAAGTAGGTTATTTATAACACATACACACACAAACATATACAAAACACAAAAATCCATTCATTTTTATATTACTAAGGAGCCCTGGTGGCATAGTGGTTAAACTGAAAGGTTGGTGGTCCAAACCCACCAGCCACTCTGTGGGAGAAAACTGTAGCAGTCTGTTTCTGTAAAGATTCGCAGCTGTGGAAACCATATAGGTCAGTTCTACCCTGTCCTATAGGATCTCTATAGAGTCGCTATGAATCGTAATTGGCTGGATGGCAGTTGGTTTGGTTTGGTTCGGTTAGATTTGACTTAAGTGTCACTTTTTTTCTTTTTCAAAAAATATCTGAGGTTGGCTGATTTCATTCATTTCGTCAGCAAGCAAGCACTAGGTATTTCTTAGGAGCTAAGCACTCTGTTGGCTATAGGGATTCAACACTGGTTAAGAGGGTTACCTGCCCTCAAGGTGGACACACTGGGCCATGAAGCAACATCTATACATTTGCGCCTCTGATGAGTGTTAAGAATCCAGTTTTTAAGTGACGTCATTATCTTTACTTTTATTCTTTCTCATTCAGTTTGTCCTGGTCTTTATTTTTAATGAAAAAATAAAGGATAATAAGTATTGAAACAGAAATATTAATAAATGAATTAAGTACACGTGGCTCCATTATTAGATTACTTCCCTTTGGTGGCCTCCCTCCAACATAATAGGGTTGGACAGCTGTTGCAATACTTAAGATAGACTGCTACTTAAAGAAAAATATTTCTTCTGGATATTCATGGGAAATGATGAACTACAGAAACTGTTATCGAATAATGTTCTCAGATGATGGATTTTTTAAATAATAATAATAAAACTGTTAAAGCTGGTGAAACTTCATCTGTGCATCTGCTTCTCCAGAAATTGTTTTGAGGTCATTTCTTCAGATTCAAAGGATGAAGGTAAGGAGGATTTATTTACTCATCTCTCAGAATCTGTGAAGTTTAATTCAGATGTTCACAGAGAGGTGGGAAAGGAGGTTTGAGGGTGGAAACAGCATTGTCTCTTTTCCTCTTGGGCACTATCAAATCGGTAGCTCCTTTGCTCACTGATTTTAGATATGTGGATCTTTTTATACCCAACAAAGCCTGAAATACTCCGCAAAATGCAAGTTCCTACAATCGGCAGGACTGAAGACTATCTACTGAGATGCTACAGTTAACTATCACACAGGGGCTCCAGGGTCAGCCCGTTTTAATCCACATGTAAAACCCAGGATGCTGAAAGCCCACCATTTACTTAACACAACACCCAGCCCCAGTGAGAGGCCTCTCCCCGTGGAATGCAGACGACTTTGTTTCCTGCTGTGTGCCCATCATTGATCACAAATCTATGAATGACAAGACTCAGCTGTAAAGAATGGCAGTCTCTATGGAAAAAGCACTTCCCTTTAAAAGTCACTTTAAAGAAAAATCGATTGTTCCTTTTCTAACAGGAAGACTTTGATGCTTTCTTTAGAACAAAAAGATACATCAACACTCTGCAACTAGTAACTTCTTCAAAAGGTCAGAAAATAAAGCAACTGAATATATAGTTTACAAAAATGAAAGCTTCCCGAGAATATTCAAGAACTGTAAAATTTACCGTGCTATAAAATACTGTTTTTTCCAACAGACAGTGGTTAAAACGAGTATCTTTAAGGTGCTTCTGGGAATAACATATGCACAGTTGGCGAGGTTAGTAATAATACTTGCATGTATTGTCAGAGGAATGTTCAAAACCCTGACTTAGCAAAGAACTCTACTTTGGAGCATCTGTACTTAAGACACCACTGTCCTCTCTACCCCCTGACCAGCAACGGTAACACTCATTTCAAGAGAAAGCAGGCCTGATAAATGACAGCACTACTAGTGTTTTATGTTATCAGCACTTTTACTATAGATTCTTTTTAATTCATGCAAATAAAATTTAAAAATTGCATTGTTTTAATGAAATACTATAAACACTAAAACTAAACCACCAGTTGCCCTTGTGTTGATTCTGATTTATGGTGATTCCATGTGCATCAGAGTAGAACTGTGCTCCACAGGGTTTTTAATGGCTGATTTTTTGAAAGTAGGTCACCAGGCCTTTCCTCCAAGGCATCTCTGGATGCACTCGAACCTCCAACCTTTCAGTTAGCAGCTGAGTGCGTTAACCATTTGCACCACCCAGGGACTCCACTGTACACGCTAAAATATATGAAATACTGACATTTGTTGAATTCTGGTTACTAGAGTCAATTTTTTTATACACGCATCAAAAGTATTGAAAAGAAAATTGTATAATATTTTTGCTAAACTAACATAATGAACCAAAAATCCTATCATAATATCCAGAGAGTCGCTAGTATTAAAGAATTTGGTTAAAAAGAATGTATTTTAAAATACAGGTACATGCGTCCCATGTATTCCATATGTACCTTAGATAGCTCCATGCCTGGGCCACACTGTTTGCAGAGAATGCAATTTCCAGACCGATCCCGAAATTCTTGTTGTCGACAGTCTCCTGTTTCACAAATCACTTTACATGACTGAAAAAAATAAGTAACAAAACTTTATCTTAAAATACTTTATTTTTTGCAAGAAAGGAACAACATCTTTAGTGTTAGTCACATAATCACTGAACTCAAACATTAATTCAGTGTCATTGTTGTTAGTTGCCCTCCAGTCGATTTTGACTCATGGCGATCCATGTGCGTGAGTAGAACTGCTCTGTAGGGTTTTCAAGGCTGTGACCTTATGGAAGCAGATCACCAGGCCTTTATTCTGAGGTGCCTCTGGGTGGGTTTGAACTGCCAACGTTTTGGCCAGTAGTTGAGCACTTAACCATTTGTGCTGCTCAGGAACTCCTAATGCCAGGCAAATTTAATTTTCGCTTTAGAAAGAAAGACCAGAGGAACCCTCGAGACTGTGGTCCTAAGACACCCTTCTGATCTGGAACTGAAGCCATTCCCAAAGACCACCTTTCAGCCAGACACTAGTCAGGCCCATAAACAATATTACAAACAACAATTACCCGAGAGGAACGTGCTCCTTAGAACAATCAATTATACGAGATCAAAAGGGAAACATTTGCCCAAAAGCAAAGATGAGAAGGCAGGAAAGTGTAGAAAATCCAGACAAAAGGAAATGAGGAACCCAGGGCGGAAACGGAAAGAGTGCTAACACATTGTGGGGAATGCAACCAATGTCATGGAACACTTTATGCACAAACTATTGAATGGGAAACTTATTTGCTCTGTAAACTTTCATCTAAAGCAAAATAAAAAATCTAAAACAAGAACAGAAAGAAAGAACACTTTCTGATAAATCAGTAAGTCTAGTTCTTGTCTGTATTCTAGAGAATACTAATTCACTCCCTAAAGGAAGTCTCCTTTTCTCTTGGAATTCTTTGCTGTCTTCCTCTGATAGTCTCGGAAGCCCCTAAGGTAAAAGATGACTTGGGAGCTGTTCCTCTGCCTAAGTGGTGACATGTATAAAAGGCAGTCATGCAGAGGCCAGAGGCTTCCCACTATCCGAAACTTCTGAGCTCGAAACTGTATTTTTTAATGTTGAAGAAATACAAACAGGTTTGTGTATCATGAATTGAATAAATTAATTAATTAAACAGAATGGATTGGTATAACCACAAGAACTGTGCAATTATCCTTTAGACATATCATAGGCATTTTCTCTGCCACCCAGTTTTGATGTAGGCATTTCAGCCTTTTCCAGCTGAACTACATTTACGTGGAGAACGTCCTCCTAAATATAATTTTGGACAATCACAAGATCAGTAAAATTCTTGATGATGATGATGATGATGTAGAAGACCACAGCAGCCTAACTGTCAGAACTCCTCAAAGTAAAACTGTTATGTAAATATGACCTTACTTTCTTACTGATTACCATTTAACCACTTACTAGAACCCAATCATACACTTTGGTTCATAGCATTAAAAAAAAAAAAAAATTGCCACCAAGTCAATTCTGACTCATGGCGACCCCGTGTATGTCAGAGTAGAACTGTTCCATAGGGTTTTCTTGGCTGCAGTCTTTACAGAAGCAGATCGCCAGTCCTTTCTTCCTTGGTATGCTGGGTGGGTTCAAACCGCCAACCTTTATGGCTAGTAACGGAGCGTAAACATTTTGCACCACCCAGGGACCTCTGGTTCATAGCACAGGAAAGATTATACTTGGAAAAAACAAAGTTTGTAAGTCATTATCCAAAATATACTTTTTTTTTCCCTATTTTATCTAAAAACAAATTTACCACTGATACTATCATCCTACAAAACTGTGTTTATCTGCTTCTTAACAAATAGTATTCATGGAAAATGTTGGTATTAACAGAATCTCAGAATTAATGAAGATACTCTGTTGAACTTCTTAAGTAGGAATGGCCTCAGGAACACGTCTGACTATAAGTTCGTTTTCCTAAATGATAGGGGCCCTGATGGTGCAGTGATTAATATCTCAGCTACTAACGGAAAGGTCGGCAGTTCGAACCCAGCAGCCGCTCTGCAGGAGAAAGATGTGGCAGTCTGCTTCTGTAAAGATTACAGCCTTGGAAACCCTCTAGGCCAGTTCTACCTTGTCCTACAGGGTCACTATGAACTGGAATCCACTCAACAGCAACAGGTACGGGTTTTTTTTTTCTCCAAATGAAAGCTGAAAACCTTAGGAAGAATGAGGAACAGAGGCTGTTGTTATGCACAATGCCTATCACAGTGTGATGTACACATACAGGCACAGTGAATTGTTTTTTATGGTTATAATAACCAGCAACTAGTCAGAACAAACTACTTCCACCTCGAAGCAAGAATATCTGTAATGATATCTGCCAACTTCCTTCAACAAAACTAATGCTTTAACCTCTAGGGCAGGCAGGAAAGAAAAAGGTGGACTTTGGGAACTGGAAGATTATTTGGGGTTAAAGGTCTGATAATTTCATCCTACCTCCCTTAACTCTACCTTAACTACCAATCTTTGAGGAGTTTGATTGTGTTTAAAGGAGACAGAAGATTCTTCCCCATGGGATAGAGACTGTAATCTCTTTGATTGTAATCTCTTCCTAGACCCCTTTATTCTAATGTTTAACAATTTTAATTGACAAAAGAAAGTTTTTCTTACATCTACCTGAATCCCAGAGTCCAATTTGACTCTTATTTCTTATAGATCATTATTATATCTCCATATTTAAATAAATAATTAATAATTTAAATTCAATTATTTTTGAATACCTTTATAGGTCTTCTGTGTAAAATTTTCAAACATTAAAATTCTCCAACTGCCTTTAATGGTATTTGGGAACAAGATGGATATAACTACATAAAAGTAATAGCTCTTTTAAAAATTTATTCTAAATCCTACACAAACCTCATAAGTTATGGGCTCAAAATTAGAATTTAGGGTCTGTTGTTGTTGTTAGTTGCCATGAAGTCAATTCTGACTCGTGGAGATCCCACATGTCCAGAGTAAAACTGCTTTATAGGGTTTTCAAGGCTGTGACCTTTCAGAAGCAGATCACCAGGCCTGTTCGAGGTACCCCTGGGTGGGTTTGAACTCCTAACCTTTTAGTTAGCAGTCCAGCGCTTAACCATTTACTTCATTCGGGAACTCTCTGTTAGGGTCTAGGATGTATTATGTGAGACATACCTATAAGTTCAACATAACATCATTGTCGTAATGCTACAAGTAATCTTACCATTTTACGACTTCATCTAAATTTGACCAAAACAATTTCAACAACTGTTATAAATGTGAAGACTGAACAGAAATTTTTAACTTGTCAATTAAATACAAAAATGATCAAATGGAATTTGAAAGAATTAAAAAATAATATGAGATCAGAGAGAGAAGACAGTTTTGGCATTGCTTCTGTGAATTCTTTCACCATATTCTTATGAGAGAAAAGAGAAGTTTACTTACCAAGTAGGCTAGCAGGACTACGATGGTGAAAAATGTTTTCTCTTGTTCCAGTAATACTTTTAAAGCCATTGCTCTTATTAAATGTAATTATTGTTGAAGAGTTCTAAAATAAAGATAAGAAGGAAGATACAGTTAGCATTAAACATTATGAGTGGCTGTGCACAGTATTGTACTTGCTATATAACATTTGTTGTTGTTGTTAAGTGCCACTGAGTCAATTCTGACTCATAGTGACCCCATGTGATACAGTAGTACTGCCCCATAGGGTTTCCTAGGCTGTAATCTTTATGGGAGCAGATCACCAGGTCTTTCTCCCGAGAAGCCACTGGGTGGGTTCAAACTTCAACCTTTCCATTAGCAGCCAAGTGCTTAACTGTTACACCATCAGGGCTGCTTCATATAACATTTACCATTTCCTATAAATGCTAGATAATAAATATTGTTTATGTTTTAAGAGAACCACATTTTTAGAAGATACATAGACAAATAATAATGAATTCTTTTAAAATTTAAGTTATGAGGATTGAAACTTTGTCTGCCTACACATTATATGCAAACTCCTACTAGCTCTGAATTCCAAGGCTATACAGGCCTTTATTTTCCACCCAAGTCTCTACAGTGTCCAATCTCATTCACCCAGTAAAGAATTACATGAAAACAGTGACAATATAGACCTTGCATTTACATGGGTTTACACTCTGCCAACAGGAAAATAATAGTGATAAAATAACAATTACCACTTGCTAAGCACGTCCATGAACCAGGCACTGTTCTTACGATGTTAACTTATTTATCCTCACAGCTCCTCTAGAAAGTAGGTGCCATTGTCATCCCCATTTTAGAGAAGGGGAAACTGAGGCTCAGAGAGGGTTAAAGTAACTTGCCCAAGGTCACATTGCTAGTAAGAGAAAGAGCCAGTATTCATACTCAGACGGGCTGGCTCCAGTGTCCCTGTCCTTAATATACTATGTCACATATGCCCTGCAAAACTACCTGCTATGTTTACTAAAGAGTATGCTTGCATCTTGAACCTTCATCTCTACCAAGAAGCAGACAGTTAACTTTTGACATTTATGAATTCTTCCCATAACCAGTACAGTGCACATGAGTTATCAGCAGAAAAACAAACATTCATTCCAAACCATCTCAAAATCATTTCCAAGTGATGGAATTTGAGGCACTGATCTGATACTTCAGTAAAAGTAAAAAACAAACAAACAAAAAAAAAACCCTTGATTCTCACCAGAAATGATCTAAAACGTAGAAACAATTCCAGTTGTTTTTTACAGGTCCACACAATGTCAAGAGAAAAGATTTATATTTAAAAAAAATTTTAAAAAAGGTTAAAAACCATCTGGCGGCTCCATCTATCAGGTAGGAAACAACAGCTCAGTTTCCCTGGAAAGCTGAATCTTCCAAAACTAACAGAGACCCAGAGCAGATAATCTGACAATTTAGAAAGAAACCAGAGCAGAGAACCGCTGGCCAAACAGCTCAAGAAAAACAATAACAACAACAACAAAGGAAGCACAGCTGGGCAGCCTGCAGTTCCAACTGCTGGACAAGCAAGCAGGGGCGCGGGGGCGGGAGCCTGAAGACAGGACCAGAGACTACACTCTCACGGGCCCTCACGGCAGTGCAAATGCTCAGAATGGGAAAAGTCATCTTATGTTTGTTGAATGGATGACCCATTTGAGTGGATTCAAACAGCTTTTTAAAAAAACTTTCCAGCTCCGTGGTCACTGCTTTTGTTCCCCTTGCATATCTCAAAATCACCCCACAATTACTCAACCATGCAATTTACTGTAGACACAGGCTTGGGGTCAGAAGATAAAATTACATTCTCTGAAAGGTGTGCTTCAGGTTACTTCCTTCTTGACATGGATTGAAAAGAAGCAAAATAGTAAGATAACAAAATAACATTTGCTAATTTTTAAAGAGTAAAAACGTATAATTATGTATACCCATTGCCGTCAAGTCGATTCCAACTCATAGTGACCCTATAGGATAGAGTAGAACTGCCCCACAGGGTTTCCAAGGAGCGGCTGGTGGATTTGAACTGCTGACCTTTTGGTTAGCAACCAAATTCTTAACCACTACGCCACAAGGACAGCATAATGTTAGAAGCCCTGGTGGCACAATGGTTAAGAGCTTGGTTAAGAGCCGCTCCTTGGAAACCCTATGGGGCAGTTCTACTGCTGTGAGTCGGCATCGACTTGATGGCAACGGGTTATAATTTATATAGAACTAAGCTATGTGGAAAAAAGGGTATAGTACCAAAGCACCTGGAATGCTTGGGTGATCATACAGTTAATGGTCTCGGCTGCTAACCAAAAAGGTTTTAGGTCCGAGTCCACCCAGAGACACCTTGAAAGAAAGGCCTGTCAATCTACTTCCAAAAAATCATCCATTGAAAACCCTTTGGAGTACAGTTCTACTTTGACACACAAGGGGTTGCCATGAGTCAGAGTTAACCCAATGGCAACTGGTGTTACCAAAACATTTACACAAAATATGAGAACAAAGGTTAACAGCGCATACCATAACTGAGCAATTATTCTGGACAGAAGACTGTACTAGGGTAGTATACTAACTACTGTGGAGAGCATACAAATACTGTAGTACACTTTTTTAAAGACGATCACTGATATGCAAATTAAGTTAAAGGTCAAGGCACTATGATTTTGACTTCACATGCAGACTTATGAACAAAAACAACATATATCAAAATATTAACAATGGTTGGGTTCATATTGCGGCATTATGAGTGAATTTTTTCGCCTCTTTTTCTTAAAAATTCTTATAGTGTGACTATTTCATTAATAATAATAAAAAATGTATATAATGTTCTTGGAGCCAAAAAGTAAGTGACATGGTCTTGCTCCTTGAAAAGTTTATGAATTAAAAGCGGTGATGAGAAAAGACAAACAAAGCACACAGATAAACACTACCAAAGAAAGGAGGAACGAAATAAAATACTGATTTTTGCTTCACAGAGATTTTTCCTTTTAGATGATAGGATAGAACAAAAAAATTAATGGAACTATATAGCCTATGTGCTGACTTGAATTATTCTCCCAGGCTAAACTGAATACTCCGAATGGGAAATTCAAAATTAGCATTGCTGTGCCTGAATTTTCAGGGGAGCAAGTGGGGTTGCTCCCCCAAATTATTGTGTAAACTCCTTAGCCTGGCACCTAAGCCCTTTAGAATCTCACCCAGCTAGCCACTGAGCTCAGCCATACCAAAATACGGTTCTTCTGAACGCCCATGGCCTCTCCCTCCTGCACAGACTGTAGCCGTGGTGTGGACAGTCTTTTTACTAAATTCCTTCAAGAACCAGCCCAACTCTCACCCCTGCTGAGAAGCCTTCCATCCCCAAACCTCATATGGCCAAGCCATAGGGAAGGGACTCACTCTCTGGGTCCTATAGCCCTTTCTACAGTTAAGTAAGCACTTAGCATATTGCACACCAACTATATTCCTTTATATGGTCAGTTTTATTCACCAGGTTGTATGCTCCTTCTAAGCAGAGACCATGCCTTACTACTCTTTGTATTCCCAGTGCTTGGCATGGTGCCTGGCACATGAAGATGCTCAGTAAACACTTGTTAAAAAAATAAAGTCAATGAAGAAGCATGAAACAATGAAGAATATATTCTGGAAAGCAAGTGAGATTTGGTTGACATAACAGACTTAAATCTTCTGTAGTGAATAGAAAAAAAATTCTATTTTAGATGTATATAAACTATCTTATTACATTTTCAAGGCATTAGACAAGTTGTTGTTAGCTGTGCTCGAGTCGGCTTCCTAATCATGGTGACCCCATGCACAACAGGATCAGACCATTGTGATCCATAGGGTTTTCATTGGCTGATTTTTGGAAGTTCATCTTTCTTCCTAGTCTTAGTCTGGAAGCTCCCCTGAAACCTGTTCAGCATCATAGCAGCACACAAGCCTCCAAGGGCAGATGGGTGGTGACTGCATAAGGTGTACTGGCTGGGAATCAAACCTGGGTTCCTGCATGGAAGGGGAGAATTCTACCCTTGAACCATAGTAGAAAGTATTAAATAATACAGTGATGTATTTTAAAATACACTGATTCACTTAAAAAGCACGAGCAGTTCCTTTACAGAAGATTTCTTACATTGGAAGCTGGAGGTGTAGATGAGCCACAAAAATATATCACTTCTCTTTCCTATGACTTCTCTTTCAGTCTGGCTTTTTATACCAGGAGGCTGGGAAATAATTTAGACCGGGTAGATAGTTCTCAAAGAATGTGGGAAGATTTAAAGTCCATTTATGGCAATCAGTTCTGATAGTTTTTTGCCCTTAAACCCAACATGGGTAAAAATAGTCTGGGTTTTATTGGAAATTGTCAGGGGAAAATGGTAACCTTCTGGGTTTTAGCCCATTTCTTGGCAATGTCACTTTGATGTTGCACATGTATAAGGAGATAAAAACAGAACCTACATCTTAGAAGTGTTGTGAGGATTAGCTGGGATCATGGGTATAAAGGGCCTAGCCCTGTGCCTAGGACATAATAAAAGCTCAGTTGATGATGGTTGTTGATGTTGCTTTGAGAACGTCACTTATTAGCTGTGTGAACTTGAACAAGTTACTTAACCCTAAATCTCAGTTATTACCTCCACCACCTGTCTGTCAGTTGGTCATGCTGTGGTGGCTTGTGTGTTGCTATGATGTTGAGCCATGCCACCAGTATTTCAAATACCAGCAGGGTCACCCATGGTGGACAGGTGTCAGTGAAGCTTGCAGACTAAAACAGACACAGAAGAAAAGCCTGGTGATCTACTTGCAAATATTAGCCAGTGAAAACCCTATGGATCACAACAGAATATTATCTGATATAGTAGTGCTGGAAGATGAGCGTCTTAGGTTGGAAGACACTCAAAATACATAGTGGCACAACAATGGACTCATGCATACCAATGATTGTGAAGATGGCACAGAATCAAGCAAGTTTTGTTCTATTGTACGTGGGTCACCATGAGCTGGAGCCTACACAAAGGCCACTAACATAATAACAGTTGAGACTGCTGTGGAGGGTT